TAATTTTGAAAGAGATGTACTCTAGCTCAGAAAAATGTTATTGAATAGGTTAATGCTGTTGTAATGAAATGCTTCTTCTAATAAACAAAAAAAAAAAGAAAACAAAAACAACAACCACAACAAAAAAAACTATACCTTCTTAACATTTGCTGATTTCACTCAATAAAATGTGCCTGAGGCCTAGCTACATCTTAGCTCTTACTACCTGGCAAGGTAGAGAACACTACCTCGGTCTTCAGAATGGTTGTAGATGATTTGTGCCTTTCCCACCAGGCACATTTCATAATCAGCCTGTCAAGGTGCAGGAAAAATTCAATTAGGATTTCATGAGGAATTGAATGGAACTTATTAATTACTCTAATGGCTTTTTGGACAATAAGTATATAACAGCTGAAAGACTGATTAGTTTTTTGGTTTTTTTTTGGTCTTTTTGAGACAGGGTCTCTCTGTAGCCCCAGCTGACCTGGAACTCACTATGTAGACCAGGCAGGCCTTGAACTCAGAGATCCACCTGCCTCTGCCTCCCCAGTGCTGGAATCAAAGGAGTGCACCACCACACCCAGCTGACTAAAGTTTTTTAACCTCTCAAAGTGAACAATACATCATAAACTGCTATGTCTCCCACTAACAGACATGAATTCTGTCACTGAATGTGACAAAATTCCTTAAGCATTCTGAGCTATTATGAGAAAATAATCCTAAACGTGGAGATGGCTTGTCAGACGCATAAAATTGCATTGCAGCATTACTTACAGTAATGAAACTTAGTTATCAATAATATAGGACTACTTACACTAGGATAAAAATGTCCAGTGATGAACTGTGATGCCAATAAAACTATATGTTGTAATGCTGAAAAATGCTTACTTATGGTACAGCATGACTCAATTAAAACTTAGAATATCAGTTGTTCGTATAACACGGATACAGCTATAGAAAAGCCGCACAAATGTGTGCACAGGAAAATAAAAACGACTAAAATGTTTCTAGTAGTTAGGAATATGGGAGCACAGGTTACACTTTTTCTGCCTATATATTTAAGTCTATTACCTAAAATTCCTGGGTTATTACTTTTATATCAAGGGAAAACATTTTTAAAAAACAAACCTATTTCTAAATCAGTAATAATCAAGTGGCCCTGGGTGCTGGATGCATCCTCAGGGCTCCCTTCAGGTCTGAGAGAGGAGACTGAGGAAAGCAGAGGATAGTACTCGGGACTTGGAGCTCAGTCTCTCAGCACCTTAGTAATGTGGAGGGGAGGGCGGGGGGAGATAATGGAGAGGCTTTTTTTTTTTTTTTTTAGGAGAGAAGGGAGCGTGGAGCTGCGGAGTGGTGGCAGGGCCTCCACAAAGTTTAGCTTCACTGGGTTTTCCATTTACTTGGTTTCCAGTGAACACTGGGGTGGTCTTTACCAGTGAACTTCATGTATTTTTCAATGGATTTGAATTTGAAAATGACTGTTAAATCTTACTGCAGGCACTGGGTTACAGGCCCCCTGAGGTTAGGCCAGCTTGTTGTAGACGTGAAATTTCTCTGAATTTGCCTAATCATAGCTAGCACTCAAGTAATGATCTTATGCAATTAGATTAATGGGAGAATATAATCTACAAGCAAATACAAAAAGGAAGAAGTATACAGAGATGTGGATTAATTAGCAAACCTTTTATAGATAACTGGGCATTCATTAAAGCAGTTCTAAAACTTCCCTGAAATTTGCAAAACAGAAACCTTAACTTTCTCTCAAGTAGCATCTGAAACTGGGAAAACATACATACAGCATTGCTGCCTCCTCACCTTAAAGACATGGAAGGCTTCGAACTGGATGTTAGGGCTTTTGTCTCGAAGCAGGTTCATCATCAGTTTCAGGTTTTCCGGCTTGCTGATGTACTTGGTCATAGTGGCGAAATTGTGGCGGTCCAGGATCAGCTCACCTAGCAGCTGTGAAGGAGCACAAAGCCGGGGTCATGATCGAATGCTTCATATATATGGAACCAAAATAAATAAATAAACATAAGAATGGCACTATAAAGAGAACAGAGAGCTGTGAAGTACATCCTAACGAACAGGTACACGCCAAGCACAGTGGCACGTGCTATGTACCAGCGATTCAGGAGGCTGAGGCAGGAAGATCACCTGAGCCTAAAGAGCTGGAGAGGATCCTGGGGAGTCTAGTGAGAATCCAAAGGGAGCGGCGTTTATTACTTCTTCAAGATTTCGGGAGGTTTTGCTGATGCTAGCTCTTTGTGCAGCTCTTTCAGTCAGTCACTGCTGAAGTAGAATAGGAGACAGCCTGACACAATCTGTTTGCATCATTTCTTTTCTTTGTTTTTATATTTTATTCACTATTTTTATTTTATGTGTATGAGTGTATTGCTTGCAATGCCCTCGGAGGTCAGAAGAAGGGGTCGGATCACCTGGAACTGGAGTTACAGACAGTTGTTAGTTGCCATGTGGGTGCTAGGAATTGAACCCAGGTCCTCTATAAGAACAGTCAGTGCTCCTGACAGCTGAGTCATTTCTCTAGCCCCTCTTACCTTATTTCTGATTTTTACTATAAAATCTGATCTAACAATAGGAAAAAAAAAATCACTGACCGTGAATCTATCTAAAATATTTTAAACGCGGGAAATTTTCTTTTCCCTTCTGCCATGTGGGTGCTAGGAATTGAACCCAGGTCCTCTATAAGAACAGTCAGTGCTCCTGACAGCTGAGTCATTTCTCTAGCCCCTCTTACCTTATTTCTGATTTTTACTATAAAATCTGATCTAACAATAGGAAAAAAAAAATCACTGACCGTGAATCTATCTAAAATATTTTAAACGCGGGAAATTTTCTTTTCCCTTCAAAT